GCTAATAAACAAATTAGCAAAGTTGTAGGATAACAAGTCAACATTTTCAAAAATCAGTTGCATTTTTATATACTAACAATGAACAATATAAAAAGGAAGTTTACAATTCCATTTATAGTGACATCAAAAAGATAAAACACTTAGAAATAAATTTAACCAATGAGGTGAAAGATTTGTACACTTAAAACTACAAAACATTGCTGAAAGAAATTAAAGACATAAATAAATGAAAGACATTTCATGTTCATGGATTGGAAAACTTAATGCTGTTAAGATGACAATACTACCTAAAGGGATCTATGGATTCAATGCAATCCCTATCAAAATCCCAATATGGCATTTCTACATAAAGAGACAAAAACCATCCTAAAATTCATATGGAATCTTAAAGGACCCCAAATAGCCTAAACAATCTTGGCTGTACCTTGAAGGACTCATATTTCCTGATTTCAAAACTTGTTACTCTCACTCTCTGCTGATGATATTATATCTAGAAAACCCCAAGGATTCAACCAAGAGATTCCTTGAATTGATAAATGCATTCAGTAAAGTCTCAGGACACGAAATCAATAAACACAAATCAGAGGCATTCATATACACCAATAGCAGCCAAACTGAGAACCTAATCAAAGACTCCATTCCCTTCAAAATAGCAACAAAGAAAATAAAGTACCTAGGAATATATTTAACTAAGGAGGTAAAAGACCTCTACCCAGAAACTATGAAACACTGAGGAAGGAAACAGCAGAGGAAGTAAACAGGTGGAAGACCATACCATGCTCATGGGTCGGCAGATTCAACATTGTTAAAATGTCTATACTACCCAAAGTGATCTACAGAGTCAATGCAATCTCTATTAAAATATCATCATCATTTTTCACAGATACAGAAAAAATAATTTTATACTTCGTATGGAACCAGAGAAGACCACATGTGGCAAAAGCAATCCTAGGCAACAAAAACAAAATGGGAAGTATCAATTTACCAGACTTCAAACTATATTACAAGGCTATAGTAATTAAAACATCTTGGGATTGACAGAAGAACAGGGACATTGATCAGTGGAACAGAACAGAGAACACAGATATAAACCATCTTCATATAGCCGTCTAATCTTTGACAAAGCAGACAAAAACATACACTGGGGAAAAGAATCCTTATTCAATAAATGGTGCTGGGAAAACTGGATAGCCACATGTAGAAGACTGAAAACAGATCCACACCGCTAGCCCTCTCACAAAAAGCACTCACGCTGGGGACAGACTAAACCGTAAGTCGTGAATACGTAAGATGGCTATAGAGAAATGGTGGTGAAAATACTTCTTGCTAGACATTACCTAAGCAAGGAATTTGATGAAGACCCAGAAGGCCAGTCACAGCATCCATAAAAATAAATAAATGCCGACACTGATCAAATTAAAAAAGTCTGCACAGCCAAAAGAAACTGAAAAAAAGAAAAAAAAAAAAAAAAAAACAAAAAAAATGAGAAAAAACGCCAAAAATACGAATCCATAAGGGACAACACTAAACAACCAAAACAAACAACACACCAAACAAATCAAAACATATTTACGAACTCAGAAAAATACAGCAAGAAAAAAAACAAACAACAACAACCAACAAAAAAAACACACAGATGGCAAAGACGAGAACAGAACAAATTCAAAAGAAGCAGCAATAATGGCCAACAAACATATGAAACGAGATGTCAGACATCTCCAATCATGCACAGAAAATTACAAATCCAAAACCACAATGAATATCACTTATCTCTAGAAGAAGCCTTATAAAAAAGTCCCAAAACAATAAAAGTTGTGTGGATATGAGATATAGATACCACTGCTACATGCGTGACTGCAAACTAGGCAACCTCGTGGAGAAGATATGGAGATACCTCAAAGATACAATAGATCTACCCATTTGACTCCAGCAATCCCAGACTGGGCATCTACCCAATAAGAACAAAAAGACACTCTATAAAAAAGCGGGGGACACCTGCATCTAATGTTAAGCAGCACACGACAATTTCAAAGAGTGGAACAACCACAAGGCTGGGCAGGGCGCTTGCCCAAAAGGTACATAAGGGGATAATAAAATTGTATTGTATACCATGAACATGACTATTCACCTGATAAAAACCAGACATGATCTAGCAACCTCTGATTATCCTGCGATAGAGTGAACGCCATTCCTACTAGAAAGTTATCCCAAGAATGGAAAAATAAGCACCACATGTACTCACCAGCAAATTAGTATTAACTGATCAACACCTAAGTGCACATACAGGAATAACATTTACTGGGCATCGAGTGGATGGGAGGGGGAGGGAGAAGAGGGGATGGGTATATACATCCATAATGAGTGCGATGTGCACCATCTGGGGGATAGACGCGCTTGAAGCTCTGACTCTGGTGGGGAAGGGGAGGAAAGGCAACACACGTAATCTAAAACATTTGTACCCTCATAATATGCTGGAAAAAAAAAGAATAAACAAAAACTATTACAAAGCTATAGTTATCAAAACAGTGCAACACTGACATAAAGACAGCCATATAGACCAATGGAATAGACAGCCCAAGAATATATACCCTCAAATATATGGTCAAGTGACTTTTGATAAGGGTGCCAAGACTATTCAATGGGGAAGGGACAGTCTTTTTAACAAACAGTGTTGTGAAAACTGGATATCTACAGGCAAAAGAATGAAGTTGGAACCTTACCTTACATCACACACATGAATTAACTTCAAATGGATCAAAGACCTAAATGTAAGAGCTAAAACTAAAAAAACAAAAAAGAAAGAAAACACAGGGACAAACTTTATAACATTGGATTTGATGGTTAATTTTTGGATATGACATCAAAAGCACAGGCACCAAAAGAAAAAACAGATATACTAGACTTCAAAATTAAAAACTTTTGTGCATTAAAGGACACTATCAAGACAACAAAAAGACAGTCCCCAGAACTGAAAAAAAATCATATACTGTATCTAAGAAAATAAGAAACTAATAAGAAATCATATACTGTATCTGATAAGAAATTAATATTAATCTAACTGAGCTTCTAGCCCTAACTTTTAAAGCAAGATAGGATAGAAGAACAACTTAAACATTAATATGACTCAAAAAGTAGACAAATACAAAATATGAGACATTCTAAAAAGAAATACCCTGGTAGGAGTGTTGTGTAGGATTAAAAAAGACTGAAGAGATAACAAAAGGCAATATGTGAATTTTGATTGGATCCTGGATCGTGGCTGGGATGGGGTTACAGTAGAGCTTTAAAAGACATTCTTAAGATAATTGGGAAAATATGAGTCTATATATTAAGTGTGATAATAGTATTATAATTATGCAGGAAAATGAACCTATGCTTAAGAGATGCATACTGAAATAGTTAAAGGTAGTGTTAAAGATGTTTGAAACTTATGTTTAAATGATTCTGCAAAAAAAAAAAAAAAGAAAATATGGCAACAATGTCAACAATTGTCAAATTTCAGTGGAAGACATATGAGTGATCATTATACTTTCCTTCTTCTTTTCTATAGATTTAAAAATTTTCAAACTAAAAACCTTCCAGTAAAAAAGCTGTAAACCACTAAAACCGTGTATAACTTTAAATAATTTTATGTTTTGGGGATTTTATAAGGAAAAAATAGAGGCCAGGCAAGGTGATTCATGCCTGTAATCTAGCAGTTTGGGAAGCTGAATTCAAGCTGAATTCATGAATTCAAGACCAGCCTGAGCAAGAGTGAGACCCGTCTCTACTAAAAATTGAGAAATTAGCTGGGTGTTGTGGTGCACACCTATAGTCCAAGCTACTTAGGAGGCTAAGGTAGGAGGATCACTTGAGTCCAGGAATTTGAGGTTGCAGTGAGCTACGATGATGCCACTCTCCTCTACCCAGGGCAACATGTGAGACTCTGTCTCAAAAAAGAAAAAAAGAGAGCAATCTGTGGGTGTCTGCCTATGGAGCTATTGTTTAATTGATTTTTGTTTTTTATTTCAGCATATTATGGGGGTACAAATGTTTAGGTTATGTATATTGCCCTTGCCTTCCACCTCTGAGTCACAGCTTCAAGCGTGTCCATCCCCCAGACGGTGTGCATCACACTCATTATGGATGTATATACCCATCCCTTCCTCCCTCCTCCCATCTGCCCGATGAATGTTATACCTATATGTGCACTTAGGTGTTGATCAGTTAAAATCAATCTGATGGTGAGTACATGTGGTGCTTATTTTTCCATTCTTGGGACACTTCACTCAGTAGAATGGGTTCCAGCTCTATCCAGGATAATACAAGAGGTTATAGATCATCATTGTTTCTTGTAGCTGAGTAGTACTCCATGGTATACACATACCACATTTTATTAATCCACTCATGTATTGATGGGCACTTGGGTTGTTTCCACATCTTTGCAATTGTGAATTGTGCTGCTATAAACATTAGCGTGCAGGTATCTTTTTTATAGAGTGTCTTTTTGTTCTTTTGGGTAGATGCCCAGTCATGGGATTGCTGGATCAAATGGTAGATCTACTTGTATCTTTGAGGTATCTCCATATTGCTTCCCACAGAGGTTGCACTAGTTTGCAGTCCCACCAGCAGTGTATACTGTGGAATTGCTTAGACTGCTCTGCACAGCACCATGTGCATCAGCCATGACATGAATGGTGTTTCCCGGAGTTATGTAATGCCACGACACAGGTACAGTAGTGTTCGTATATTGAGACAGAGTTAGGAGGAAACACAGAATCCTTATGCAGAATTGGAAAAAAATAAAATAAGGCAAATTTACCTTTATATAATCGATCAAATTATTTCTATATAATTATTATCGTCAATTTATAGTACATAGAAGGCATAATGACTTGGCCAAAAGTCAAGCATAGCTTCATTCTCAAAAGTAAACCATTATGCAGAAAATATTCTCGAAAAAAGAAAAGAAAATGATTTAAAAATAATTTTTAAAAAAGTCAACCAAACTGTCCACACACCTAGGTTCAGGGATGGAGGCAGTAGAGGTGGGAGGGGCCGGCCTTCTTTAATGGCCAGCGAATACTGCTTTGCTGATCGGATCACATTAATGAATTCCTCATGCTGTTGTCTCCAGTTAGGTTTCTTCACAGGTTGAGACTGTAAAAAATAAAACCAACAAATACTACCCAGGCCATGTATCTCTTAATTACAGTTTTTTTTTTTAAAGCTGGGATTTGAATTTATAGGAAACAGGACTGTGAAATTTGGGGAAAAAAGAATTTGTTTTTCAAAGGAACTACTTAAAGAGGTTTGGAAAATACAGTAATGAAATTTGCAAGACACAATAGTGAGGGAAAACACAAAATAAAATTCAGAAAAACAAACTACAAAACTTTAAAGGAAGACAAAAGTAATATTTAAAGTGACTTTCTTCCCAAGTTAATTGCTAGATTTAAAGCTACTCTAATGAAAGTATAGACAAGATCCTTTTTGCCACATCTGGAAAGTATCTGGAATATATTTGGAAATCCAAGTGAGCAAGATTGTAAAGAAAACGGTAAAGGTGGATGACACTCACATGACACTACACTGCATTATCAAGAAAAATGAAGCCAGAAAGCCCAGACATAGGCTCTAATGAAGAATGTAATAAAGAACCAGAAAGAAGATATCAACAGTACCTCGGACTGAGCAGCATTCCTCACAGTAGGAATGTCAGTGCCTTGTAATCTTTGCTTCAAGGAATTGAAAGGTTTACGCTTTTTGTTGAAGAGTTTTTTACATATTGGTCCATGCCTCTCCTAGAAAAGGAAAAGTGGGGATTGGGATTTTAAAAAGGCACAATCACAAAGTTTTTAATGCCCAGGCGTATTTAGCCCTCACTACGGTTTTCTCTTAGAGATCACAGCAGAGCAAATCCATCGGCCTCTCCTCACCTGCGTCACACAAAACTAGATACTATGTTTGGGCAAAGACAAAAAAAGGCTTTTGCCGCTGCAGAGACTTCCTTCAAATTGGGTTTTATATATTTAACTCAAACTTGGGCAGTATGTTCGTAACTCCAACCAGCGTCTTTTAGGAACATTTTTGGTACAAAAACTGAGAACTCAACACACAGAGATTTGCCTGCATGCCACCTGGCAAAGTCTGTCACTGTGCCACTGTGGGATCTTTGCCTTCTTCCTTGGTGAACATGTAGCACATGATAACAGCTGCTCTGTCCAAACCCCAAAAGTACATGTCCTGTGAAAATCGCCGTACCTGGCTAACAAGAAGCCATCCCATTTTAAACTAAAGGAGAGAGAGAGCCGATCACTTGATCAAATGCTCTCTCTAGCCTACAGGTAGGCTGAGGAAGTAAAACTCAGGAGTACCCAGGACATGTTTGACATTTAGAGACTCCCTCTTCAAATGGTACCTCCTGGGTCTCAAACGGATTCTCAGGAGGTGGGGGCAGCTCTGGGCTGGGAAAGGCAATGCTGGCACACACTGGTGGCTTACAGGACCCTAGCAGGCTCCGTGAGCTCCCCCTCTAGTTTCAGGAAGCTCTAACTACAGTTAACAAATAAGTTTATTTTCAAAATTCTCAGAAAAATAAGATCTACAATCTCATTTTGTTGTCTTTGGTCCCAAACATGGTCAGGCTTATAATCCAAATGCTTTAAATTTGATATAAGTCTCTTTGATCGAAAATGTTTTAATAATTGCATTATCATCTTAGATTTATTTTTTTTTTTTTTAAACTATCTTTCTTGGGAATCTCTTTATAATACTGGAGGCTACCACCTGTTCGATTCCCTAGTTTTGAAATAAATCAAGTTTTTATCAAACTTTATGGCCATCAATCAGGGGACTTGACATGTGGTTAGCTTGATTCTGGATAACAATTAGATCTCAGAACAGGTCTTACATCCATGTATTGTTTTGTTCAAATGGTATAATCACCCTGGAATTGGAAGGTTCTGTAATATGTGGCAAAGCAGAAAGAAGGTTAAAGGACTTGTCAGAATTAGTGACAAATTTGCGGCTAAAAGCCAAGTTTCCAGATGTCTGAAATTCAATGCTCATTCCTCTTGACTAGCTAATTTCCCTGGTGTTTTGGCCTTGAAATTTGAATTTTTGATGCTTAAAGAAAAGGCAGAAGAGCCAAAACCTCTCAAGGGATAATCAACTGTGCCAAGATACTTCCATCTGCCATCGTATTAGGAGCACCCTGTTTAATGGGGTCGCTTTTGAATGAAGCGGCATCGATCAGCCTCGGTGTCCTCCGGGCCTGCCAGCCATAGGTTATGTACTTCTCTTCCCTAGCTTCCCTCCACATCTGTCTTTAATCTTTGCACCGCTGCCTCCTCACTGACTTGACAGTTCATTTAGCTCCAATGAAACACATCTACAGAATGTCTTTATGTTTACCAGAACATCTGCTGCAAAGCGTCTTCCACAGACATCACAGGGAAATAACTCCTGATTGCCATCTGCGTAAGATTCAAGAGTACATTATGTTAGTTTCGTGGAATTGCTTGGCTAAGAAATGAATGACTGGAGGTGACCTCAATAGCTTGATATCCTCTTTTCCCTCCCCACCGACTGCTTCCCTCCCCTTAGGAAGAACCTGTATACACTCACCTGTGTTTTCCTTTCCTAGTAGAAACTTGTCACTTCACTCAACAAGTAAATTCTATATCCTTCAGGCAACCAGAATGTAATTATTTTATATATATATATATAGATAGATATATATTTTGTTTTAAATAGAGACAGGATCTCGCTCTGTCACCAGGCTGGAGTACTATGGCCCCATCCTCCTGCCTCACACTCCTGAGTTGCTGGGACTACAGGTGTGCACCACCACGCCTGGCTAATTTTCCTTTTTTTTGTTGAGACAGGGTCTCCTTATGTTGCCAGGCTGGTCATGAACTCCTGGGCTCAAGTGACCCTCTTGCCTCAGCCTCCCTAAATGCTGAGATTACAGGAGTGAGCCCTTGGGCCCTACCCTAATATATTCTTAAATGGAGTGCCTAATACCTTTGCTTTAGATATAAGTACAAAGTTAATATCTTAGTATAAAGTTAGTCATACATAATCCAATAACAACATCTTGGGATTCCTACTAGAATGTAGGTTCTACAAAGGCTGAGACTATGCCTACTGTATCCCAAATGCCTCAGTGTATTTGACCCACAGTAAGGTAGTCAATAAATACTGGTTGAATGTATTGGCCAAACAAGAATTGAGTTTCTACCATAGGATCAATCATTCACACAAATAATTAAATATCTTCTATATGCAACTCTGTGGAAATATTGAGAGAAACTCTACATGGGTCCAACACACAGAAGGAGAGGAAGCACGCAGATAAATTTCAAATGAAGTTAAAAAAGTGTCATGAGAAATGCAAAACATTCTGGAATTGTGAAAAAATAGTTTTATTTGATATTGATTCATCTGGAGTATGTAAAGATTAAAAAAGCAGTTTGGGGTCAGAGTGTGGATAATTAGTCTAATTATATTAGACTAATAATCTGGGCTGTACTCTGCAAGCATGGAGAGCCATCCAGGACACTGAGCTGTGGGAGATTCATGAGACAGAGACAAGAAGGGATGAATGGATCAGGGGAGAGGGGAGAAGAGGGGACTTTACTTAAAAAGCTGGAAGTGGAGGCCTGAAATGAAAAGGAAAGGGGACATTGAGTATGCCGTGTCAAAGAATCTATAACATGACCAGGTTTTCGTTTTCGGGGGGTTGGGAGGTGGCAAAGAGAAGAATGCTGAGGACGGTGCTAGGTTTAGAGGCAGAAGGACTGAGAAGATGGTGGGGCTGAGAACAGACATAGGAAACTTGAGAAAAAGGGCCATCTTAGGAAGAACAATGACCTCAGCTTTGGAAACACTGAGTAGAAATAGAGTCATCTAGCCAGCAGGATGGGAATGAGGGAGGTCAGGGTTAGAGACACAGATGTAGGCTTTGAGGAATGAAGTAAAGGTATGATACTGCCAGGGAAGAAGTCATGGAAAGAGAAGTACAGAGATGATCCTTAGGGAAACTTTACATCTAAGGGCCAAGAAAACAATGATGATACGCCAGCAGGAGAAGCAGGAGAAAACAGGGTCATGGAAATCAAGGAAAGACAGTTTAAGAAAGGCTGGCCCGGTTAACAGGAAGCAGATGGTAGCCTGCTACAGAGTGGTTGATTTCAGTGATTTCTTCTCACATCTGCAACTGGAATTGTACTTTCAACACGGGTCATCCATCAGAGCACACAGAAATACCTCTCTTGCCTTTTGACTCTGTAAAACTGGGAATTATTTTTTTTCAGCAAGGATACCCAACACTCCACATACTTATTAATAAATAATATTCATCCTGATTATTAAACTGCTTTTTTCTAAAACACTAGCGAAGGATGAATCTATTTGTGTGAATAGTACAGTGACATTGCATGGGGCTTTCCTATTCCCAACACACCTTATCTTATGGGCTATCTCCTGGGCTATGGTGTTATGGTGTTATCTCATGGGCTCCTCGCAGTGACCCTGTGACACAGGGTTGGTACTTTTTTGTGTTACAGATGAGAAAATGGAAGCTCAAGGATGGGTGACTTTTCTAAGACTACAGGTAGTAAGTGGTAACACAGATGCAGAACTGAGTCTCTATCTCTACAAACATCAAGACTATTGACTCAGTCACCACCGTAACTACAGATATGTCAATACTTACCTGGCAAAGCAATTTGAAGCCCCTAAAGGATCGATGACCTTTGGTTCGAATTAGTGAGTTTTAATGAGTTTAAAATAATGATAGATACAATATGACTCAATTCAACACTTGGGTAGAGATGGACCACCACATTCTGAACCATGTTCAGCTTGGAAGCTTGACTATCGGGAAGGAAGGGCACACCTGCCTAGCCTGCTGAATCAAACATAGAGATCAATGAAACCTACAGTGTTTGTTACTGTACACTGAATCACATGGAATGTGATTGCTAGAACTTTAAAAGAACCCTTTGAAAGAACCAAAAGGCCTTTTAATAGGTGAATGGTTAAACTGTGGTATATCCATACCCTGGAATATTATTCAGCAATTAAAAAGAACACTATTACACTATTGATACATGTAACAACCTGGATGGACATCAATGCTGAACAAGAAAAACCAGTCTTAAAGGTCACATACTATATGATTCCATTTGTATAACATTTTCAAAATGACAAAATTATACAGATGGAAAACAGATCAAGATTGTCAAAGGGTAGAGAGGAAGGTCATTGTGATTAAACAGGCTAGAATGAGGGAGATCTTTGTGTGATGGAATAGTTCTGTTACCTTCATTGCAGTGGTGGTTATGGCACAGATGGTTAGGCACAGTGGCCCATGCCCGTAATCCCAGCACTTTGGGAAGCTGACAGACATGGTAACTGACTTGGAGGACATAAAGCTACATCAAAATCCACTTCCCAAGCTGACAGCAGGGGAGAACTAAGAGCAATCCAGATTAACACTGTAGAGCCTTAAAAATCATAGGAATCCCTGGAGCAGCATGCACCTCTTTGATTGGGGTAAGGTGAATGAAGAGGAAGAGAGCACCAAAATACGGAGGACTAAGGGAAGAAGGTTGTTTGAAACTAAGATTCCTAGATCACATGTCTCTCTACCTCCGCTTTTCCCCTTTCCCCATAAACCCTAATGGCTGTCCTTCCCCCTCCCTAGCAGAAGTCTGCTTTTCTGGAAATAAAATCATCTGTGCAAAGGAAGTCAATATTAGGCACAGCTGAAGACATGGGCACTACAGGAAAAACAGGTAGGTATACATATATGTATATAGTTAATTCTCATTATTTGTAGTCATGTTCTATGAAGTTACTGCAAGCACTGAATTAGCAAATACTGAAACATTCGTCCTAGAGGAAATAGAGGGTTAGGTTCCTGTGAGTATCTGGTCACATTTGTGTCAATGGATCAATACAAAAACTTGTGTTATGTGCGTGTCTATGTAAAGACACCTTATTTAATATGTATTGTTGATTCAATGACATTGAACTCATGCCTGAATGAAGGTTGGCTAACACACATTATTTTCTCCTCAAGCACATCATAACCTTGCATAGAACACTAAATGGCACTTCAGCACTATGCTTGGCAGCCATTTTAAGCTGTGAAATTGCCAAAGAAAAAGCACAAAAATGCAAAAAATATGACATTAAATAGTCCACAAGAAGCACACTTGTTTATAGTATGAGTGCTGAAACAAGGCAGCAGAACATCACCTTGTTCAACCTTAGTAGGGAAAACGTGTGTCAGAAGACTCAACATTACCACTATGTGCATGTATGCCAATGACTGTAAATGTGCCACATGTATTGATGTTGGTCTTGTAAGTACATTTTTAGTGAGATGAGTTTGCAAATAGGGAATCCATAAATAATGATGTTCAACTATATATGCATGCGTGTCTCTATATACATGTATATGTGTACATATATACGATCTAGTGAATAATCTCATGGATAGTGATACTGAAAGCAGAGAATACCACCATGCCCATCTTCCTCTACTTTGCTTATAGAACTCTACCTGGAAGATCCTTATCTTCAAGGCAGAATGAAACTTCCCTGGGAATCTAACCATTTTGTGATGAAATATCTAAAGATACCAATATTGGGAGATTCCCAAACAGCTCACCCAGATGACCTTACGGTAAAGCTCAGTCATCAAATGCTACTTACTCATTCACAATTTCTAGTGAATTTTTCCTCCAACCTTAATCATGAGCAGACAGGAATTTCCAAAGATCTAAGGAAAGCCTCTAATATGTAAGTCCAAACAGACAAAAAAGCAATTTAAAGGAAAATTAAAGCTCTTGGAAATGAAAAGAAGTCTTATAAAAGAAATGAAAAACTCAATAGAAGGTTGGAAGATAAAATTAGGGAAATCTCCCAGAAAGAGTAAAATGGCGGGAAAATGGGAAAGAAACATGAGTGAATTAGAATACCAGTCCAGATAGTTCTGCTCCAAATAACACAAGTTCAAGAGGGAAAAAGGAGAAAATACAATGAAGCAAATACATTTTTAACAGTTTCTAGAAGTGAAGGACATCAGGCTCCTGGTTGAAAGGACCCAGTACAATGGATAAAACTAGATCTACAACAAACATCATTGTGAAGTTTCAGAACACTGAAGATAGAGATTCTACAGACTTCCAGAGAAAAGACCAATTACATACAAACTATCAGGAATCAGAATGGCTTCAGATTCCCAAACAGCAAAATTGGAAATGGAAATTAATGGAGAAAATCTATTAAGCTTCTGAGGTAAAATAATCTGCAGCTAGAATTCTATACCCAGTCAAGCTACCAATCCAACTGGGAGTAGAATACATTTCTAAACATCCAAGTTCTCAAAAAGTTTACATCCCACATATCCCATCTTGTGAATTGCTGGAGGATGTGATCTGCAAAAATGTGAGTAAAAGATACAGGAAAAGGCAATTCAACACTGGATGGAGAGGAGGGCACTCCCAGGATGACAGCTGGGTACCAGAACTGTAGAGTAACCGGTCTAGGTTGGAGGTGTGTGATTCAAGAGACAGACATGTTGAAGGCAAGACTATCATGACCAAGACATTCACTGCCTTTGTAATCTTAGGACAAAGTATATCAGATTCCTATCATGTTCTATACTTGGCTTGTTTAGCCCTGTTCCAATGAAGTGCCTGCTCTCTCCTTCATATCCTGACATCTAGATAGCTGAGGACACTCATTTCACCCCACAGGAAGGCTCTGCATTCATCTTGAGAGACAGAGGTAGGTCACAGTGAGCTTAGAAGCAGAAAATATAAAACAAGCATACAATCCTCTAAGTATATTGCTGCAGATCCAGGATGCCCCAACTGTGGTAACTTGTGTTTCCTAGGACTCACTTATCACCTTGCTCACTGACATCTGCACATGGAACTCTTGTAAACTCTGGAAGCAGACGTCATACCCAGGGACTGTTCAGTTCATCATCTCTAGGACACCTTGATATAATAGTAGCAAATATTGTCCTCATAAAGCTAGGTTTGTGCTTATTTCTCAGTTGTTCAAAAATAAATAAGATACTGTGTTTAGAGATACCATACAGGTGGTTAAAAAAGGAAATGCGTAATACAGATTATTTCCTATCCAAAATGCATGGGACCATAAGTGTTCTGAATTTTGGATTTTTTGAGGGGTTTTGGAATATTTGTATATATGTAATAAGATATCTTGTGGACAGTACCCAAGTCTAAACACACAAAATTTGTTTCATATACCACCTATACACATAGCCTGAAGATAACTTTATGACACTTTCAATAATTTTGTGCATGAAACAAAGTTTGCATTAAATACCTTTCTGTGGAATTTTTCATTTATGGCATCATGTCAGCAGTCAAAAAGTTTTAGATTTTGGAGCTTTTTAGATTTTGGATTAGGGATGCTCAACCTGTATTAACAGCCTGGATAGTACCTAAGAGTTACCTGAGGGGAAAGAGTTAAATAAAAGTGAGGATAGACCTATAGGTGACTGACTATCTTCTATTTCCTAATTTGAATAGTGGGCTTGCGTTCTTTATACATTCACCCATACGTTTCACAATTAAAATGTCAAGGCCACTAGAATTCTTACCTTGTCTTGCCCTGTAACTGGAACAAACAAGCTTGGTAAAGCATACCAATGTCAACACACATGAAGCAGCAACATGAAAGCATAGAAAATGTAACTGTAAAGTCACAAAATGGCTAGGAGTTGTCCTTCACCTGAGCTAATCTGCTGACATCACAATGGAAGTGTGGATACAGGACATTATAGATAATACACACAAATGCTAATAGCATTTAAGATACCTAGACTGCATAGTGTGAAAGTGATTCACATTTGGTAGTAAGTGGTAGACTACTCTGTGACGCTGGGCAGCAACAGGGAGCAGCACTCCCCCATCAGCCACACGACCAAGAGGGCAAAACGCAGATACTCTATAGTGCGCTGTGTTGCCAGATGATTTTGCCCAACTGTAGGCTAATTTAAGTGTTCTGAGCACATTTAAGATAGGCCGGGCTAAGCTATGACATGCAGTAGGTTAGGTGCATGGTACCTAACCTACTAAATTTTCAATTTACCATATTTTCAACTTACAATGGTTTTATTGGGACCAACTTACACTGTGGCACTAAAATATGACAAAGTGGTTTTAAACCAATCATGGACAGTGCTTAAACAAAGTAGGTTTAAAATACAACAGACAAATCCCTCATGATTTTGCACCCCCACCCCCCAGATCTCTCAGGCCTTTCTCATGGCCAACTCCAGTGAATCTAGGTCCTACTGTTGCATGTTTATATAATTCTTTTCTGAAATCTTTTCCTGTCTCTCCATTAATTCATACACTACTTAGTGACTGTATACCAAATGCCAGGCACTGTTCCAGAGCCTGGCAATAAAGCAGTACACAAAACTTTCTGTCGCCAAGAAAGGTCTGCTCTAGCGAGAGGAGACTGAAAAACAAGTCCGCTATGCCAACAGGTGTTCTGGAGAACACAGAGCAGGGAGGGAGGATAAAGGATGCAGGGGAGGGACGTGTGTGCTATTTCTATATGCATGCTCAGGGAAAAGCCTATAGAGAAGGTGACGACTGATCACCAACCTTGAGGAAGGTTTGTCTATAGTAAGAGCACTTCAGGGGAACGAGTACCAAGATCCTCATGACAAGCAGAACTTATCAGAGACAATATCATGACTTACCCGTCACTGCATGTATTCTGCCCCTCAGATGATGTGGTTCCTGAGGGTAAAAACCCTCTTAAATCTGTGGACTCACAACACTTAGCATGGAGCTTTTATGTTCAGTTCCCAGCCATTGTTTATAGATAACTAAAATATTAGAAAACTCATTAAAATATTATGAATTTGTTCTCCAGAATAAAATTAAGATCTTTAAGTCTGGAATATAATCAACCTAAATCACAATATGCTTCATCAAGACTTGTGGGTGGCTGAGTCACATTCTCTTAGTTGCGAACTATATATGTGGACTTAAACCCTGTGGGTCAGGTACAGTGAAATTAAGCAGCTCCTAAGGTGGAATTTGAATAACACCACAACAAAGTAACATCCAATGTCTTTAAGACTCTTGCTGGTTTTGAGAAAGCTACCAAAATAAATGGTCAATTCTTTTAGAATTTACACTCTCAGTACTAACATAAACCATCACCTGACCCTTTGCTTCATAGGCTGGCATTTAGATACACTTGCTCCAGTATCCTACTTCTGTAATGACAAGCTCTTCAGCTAAGTTTTTTCTAATCAATGTTGGTAGAATATCCAATGCTATTGTGTTTTACAACTCTTTTAAAAATTCTGCAATAATTTACTCAGATTTAAATTTAATACACATTGTAGAAGTGAATACCTACTACTCTTGGAAAAGCCACAATCATGATTACAGATGAAGACACTTTCTAATAATTTAGATATGAAATGCAGCTCACCTGCCAAAAATGGTCCTGACTCAGCCATTCTGTTCCTAACTCAGACCCAACAGTGTCCACAGATTTTTACAGCCCAGTCCAGATAACAACACATTAGCTAGGGACACATATATAGGGGCCACTAACTGTCTGTTACAAAAAGTCACAGTTTACCAAATAATTAACAATTGTGATGGTGTCATTGCCTAAGCCTTGAACAAGTTTAAAGAAATTAAAAACAACTTCTCAAAAACAGGGAAAGTTTTCAACTATTTATTTTAAATCAAGTATGAATGGTTCCAAACACATTAAATAAAAGTTGAAAAGACAAGTCTTCCAGTTTAAACTGAAGTAAATATTTCTGGTTTTGAGCTAGGGACTCACTGAAGCCAAAAGCAGCTTTCTTGATGATTTCTACTATTTGGTTTCCTGCCTTCACTGTTCCTAAATCCCAAAAGTAAGTCATCCAGTGATATAACAGGAAATATGAATTCATTTTCACCATCCTTTTTGAAATAGTTCTTTGTCTACAGCAAGGGAAAACTTAGCTTACTACCCGTGGAACCTTCTCAGGAAAACTCATCTTACCACTGAACAGAACAAACTCAGCATTTCAAAATTGAGTTTAACCAGGCCACTTTTCTACTTAGAGCAAATTAAACCATGTAATTCCTGAAAAGGCATGGAGAGGTTTCAAAGAAATATTTGAGAACATCTGCAAAAAACAACTATGACGACCATACAAATAAATGAATACACCAATTCAAGTTATGAAGATATTTTCCTTTAATTTATCCTAACATTTCACATTCATGAAGTCAATTATTTCAGAGCAAATCTAAGCTTATAATATTAAACTTAAAAATATTACAATATTTACAACACAGGTGGCAGGGGAAACTTGCTGGTATAAAAATAATACAATATTGTATTTTTCTCTTCAATATCTGCCAGTAAAAATGGCAGAGCATACAGTTTTGTCTTTCTGAACATCTTAGTTGATTACCGAACATAATGAAGAGCTCTTACTAGGAAATGTGCCTTATCCTAAACGTCCCACCATCTATAGCTTCAGACCCTCAACGTTCTTCTTCAAGTTCAGTAGCTCCTTTTCCTGCCTTCTTTTCTCCAGTTTAAATGCCAGTTTATTAGCTTTCCTCTCCACTCTTCGTTCCTATACAAGAATATACTCGTGTTATTCCAATCTTTAAACTGAAACAGACTTTTACAAAAGAAAATTCCAATAACTTCCCCTCCACTAGCTCTTTGTAAATCTCACATTTGAAAAAATATATCTTACCTTGCGCTCTTCTTTTATAGCTTGCTTTCTTGCTCTTTTGTCTTCTTTGCTTTCATTTTTAGAACGTGGTTGGGTTGATGCCTTAGGCAGATCACTGCCATTAATCATCTGCATTCGTTCAGCTTGCTTTGCTGTGAGTCCTTTTTTGGGTAAGACATTGAGAGGTATTCCTGTTTTAGAAGATATTCGGATTTGTTTGGGCTGAAATAAAGATAAAATGGCACTAGAGTTATTTCCCATTCCTATAAAAAATAGTTCATTAATGACACACTGTTGGTGCTTTTCCTAATAGCACTGCTAGGCACAAAAGGATAAAGTTACCATAAGAAAATTTTTATACTCTATTTTCTGCACTGCATACTTTAAATAGATAGCTCAACAGACTAGCACTTTACCTTTGGTTGATACTTGATAAGCTGTGGATGGTTGTATAAATTTGAGTAGGTACCTAAAAAAAAGCAAAAACAAAAACCATGTATCAATAAGTACACTTTTAGTTCAGCAAAAATTACTGATTTCCTACTATATCCCTGACCTTGGTGTTTTCATAGTACAAAACACTAAAGTCTCTTATAAATGTTTTATAAGTTGCTTACAACTTAGTAATAAGAATATTACTCTTTCCAAATCATCTTCATAAATTCCCTAAAAGCTTCACTTCTACTTATATATGTACTTTATCAAAGTTGATATACTTCATACTTTAACATACTTTAAAGTGACTGCTAATATACTTACTACAAATGGATTCACAATCCCACTTTTCTTTGGCTTCTTCAAGAACTACAGTAACAATCTCTTCTTCCTCAGACTCATTGAGCTCATTCATTGGCAGGTCTTGATCCTCAAAAGGTTCAAGAGTATTCAACTTTACACAACTTTGGTTGAGTTTTTAAAAATGAAGACAGAGAATGGGGGAAAAAAGAAACACCCATTATTATACAATATGTCACTAAAAGTGCACTTAAAGAGTTATGGAAACGGCAATTTTTATAACCCACATAATTCTGTGCCCCTGTCTTGTCATTTCTCATCAAACTTTGCTCTACCCACTCTTGCCTCTTCCTTCCAGTGCATTATGTATATTCATTATACTGATAGGTAGTCAAGATTTATGTGTGTCTTTGCATGGTTATAATACATTAAATAAGATAGCAGCTATCCCAAGAAAACGGGTTTTAAGCCTAGAAAAACATTAGTCCATGGGTCTTTCTCCAAAGTATTCAAATAATTCACTCAAAGTATGTTGTTCCTTGTCCTGTTGTGGGATCTACATATTATGGTGGTCACGGAACACCAAACCTTTTAAGTAGATTTAAACACTACATTATAGTTTCTCTCAGAAAAGTCACCTTGAGGTGGGTGCTGGCCTGCCAAAATAATTGGCTAGTCAGTTCTGCTAATGCAGCTGGAGAGACAAACCTTTATCTTTCCATACGACATAAATACCTACTTCTCAGAACACTTGGCATTTCAAAAGAAAGTAGGTACTTATAAGTCAGAATAATTCTTCAGCCAAAAAGGCTAGGAGCACCATCTTATTCTCCAACTGGAATGTGTCTTCATATTTCTGACTCTAATCCTCAGTTACTGCACCATGATTCTTCTCAAGTAAAAAATACAGGCTGGGTGCGGTGGCTCATGCCTATCCATAATCCCAGCACTCTGGGAGGCTAAATCAGGATTACCTTTTAAGCCCTGAAGTTCAAGACTATAGTGAGCTATGATCCCAACCACTGTATTCCAGCCTGGACCCTGTCTCAAAAATAACCAGAAAAGGTGGTGGTTCCCAGTATGTTCCCACTATCACATTCTGCTTCAGAATTCTTAATACCAAAATGTAGGCAAAACAGATGAGATTATATACATATATGTGTGTGTGGCTTGACACACACGCCAATGTTTATGAAACATGTATCATTTCCTTAATATTGAATCTGACTAGGTAGATTTTTTCCCTCAATTCAGTTGTAGAACTATAGACTTTATTTGGAGATTTAAGAAAAAGCAGCTAAATAAGAAAAAGAAAAGTCACTGTACTTCTCTGCCATCTCTTTATAGTAGTCACTCAAAACTTCCTGTAAGCGATTGCTGTCTACTTGAATGGAACCTTCCAATTCAGCATTATCCAGAGCTCCAATTTCATCATCATCATATTGCTCATAAAACTTGAATATGAACAGAGAAAAGATATAATGAAAAACAAATGTACTCATTAGGACCACAGCATTTAAATGTTTTTACATTAATTTTATTCCTATACAATATTTAAGCATTATCATAAGGTCACAACTACCATTAAAATATTAGTAGGGATTTATCATCATAGCAATAGAATGTGGAAGACATTTCTGCCCAGTACTTTTAAACATTTACATTTAGACTAAAAATAAGCTTCCATTTAACATGGAAATGAAAGGCAGTTATTCTAATTAGCTCAGAGAACAAAATTCTAGGCAAATATCTCTACCTCAGAATGTTTTGACGATAGTTTGTATAACCAAGGAATTTGAAAGAAAGAGATCTATGTAACTGAGTGGTTTCCTGCTAATGTATAAATTTCATTCTTGTTTAGATGATATTTACTGCATTATTCAAATGTTAACACTGTTTATAACTCTTTGTCAAAGAGTAAGGAGCCGGTGACATATCTCTTTCTAAAGAGTGAGATTATTTGTAGTTAACAGTTTGCCTCTCTTTAGAGAAGAAAGCTAGTATTTAGTGAGCAGGTAGCAAAGTCAGAACCTTTATCTTAGATTTATTTTTGAAGGAACCATTCCTTCATTTATTCATCATTTATTAAATAGTTTGCATTTTTACTATTAATAGATGTCAGACACCACTTTAGGGCTTGGAATGTCCAAAACCTCTGCCCTTGGAGAATTCATTCTATTCAGAGACAAACCTATCTATACACAATATAATAAAGCAGCACATTAGAGATGATATCAGAAGGTGCTGAGTGCTACATAAAAATAGGATAGAGAACCTGCATAGACAAGCTACAGGACGGGTTCATCAGCCCTGGAGTGAGCCTGCCAAAATAGCATCAGACACAGTACATGACAATTCGTGCTTACAAAGCACCCTACTACTCTCTATTTTCATTCTATTTCCTAGTGTTATGTCTGAAAACTCCAGATATGAGAAATTGAATGAAATAAAATTTTGTTTACGCTCAGGCCATTTTTTTTTTGGAAAACAGCATGACCTTGAGGACTGCAGTTAGAGAAATTCAGAATCAAGAACTCAAAGAGGAAAGGCAGTAATTTTGATCAGCCAACTCTCCTTTGACCTATACAAATTCTTTCCAGACTCAAAACTGGGTGGTTTTATGCTTTATTTTTATAAAGAGACAGATTGTTTCTAATACCGAAAATTTTAGCTTTTGGTCACAATCTCTTTTTTTAAAATAAAATTTACCAGTAGACAGTATTAAAATGTCCCTTTGTTTTGGGATCTTACCTTCTCAAACCTCTCATCATGAAGAGTCAGCTGTTCATTTCTCCTCATGACTGAGGAAGTCATAGAATACTCTGTGAAGCGACTTTTCGTTTCTTCATCCCAGAAAAAGTGATTTTCTACAGCTCCGTGAGGTTTTCCAGGGGCAAACATACCATTGTCGTCTGATAATGGGCCCACAGAGTCACAGTCATCAGCATCACTGCCTCTTCCCCTCTCATCATCCACATCTTCCCACTCATCCTCATCCTCAGATTTCCTAAAGTCAAACAGTCATAAATTACCTGTCAAAACAATTTAAAAAATAACAGAATGAAACAACTTTACATAAGTAAAATCAGAACGTGTTTCAGAAATGGTTCTTGTTTAGGCAGGAACAGTGAAGCTATCTGGTATGGTTGGAAAAGCAATGAAGTGACAATCAGGACCCTTGGACATTAGTCCCTGTCAATAGCTCATAAAGACCTTATGCTCACATTTTCTGCTCTGAAATAACAAAAGTCTCAGATTAAATGTTCTAAAAAATCTCTTCCAGCTGTAATATTTGAAGAGATATGGCTACCATCCCACTGAAGAATTAACAGGTCATCTCTGGTTTGAAACAAACCACACATACTGTATATCCATTCCCTCTTCCTCTCTTGTAGGCTTATTGGCCTGAAGAATAAAGTCATCCTCAAGCAGATTATCTGGATTGTCAAAATCAAAATCATCATCAAGAGCTGCAACAATGTCAGGATCAAAATCCAGTCGAGGTCCTAGAAGGAAAATAAAAATTGAGCAATGATTCTCAAGAAAGCACGATTCATTCACTTAACAATCTGAGTGTCTATAATATGCCAAATTCTTTTTATGTATTGAGGATAAAAGCATGATTAAGAACTTTAAGAAGTTCAGTTTAGTGAAGAATAGATTTAAAGTAATTAACTTTTACTAATTCCAAGTTAAAAAAAAAGAAACAATCTCTTTCCTTTAATATCCACTGGTAAAAATACTCTTCTATTACAGATCTGTAATATTAAGCTTTGTCTATTTAGAAAAATTCAAAGCTTTCACCTGCAGGAAAGAACTGGGATTTAAATTCATCTGTTAGAAGCAACTCAAATATCTACAGACTGTTACCCTTTTAGTTTTTTCTGACTATGAGATTTTAATAAATCCTTACCTGTTCCTTTAGCTATATTCTTCCACCTGCAAAAATTCTAGAATTCAAGAAAAACATTCAAGTCCAAGCTTAAAATCTGATGTGGCCTCTGACACCCTCTGCATGGCCACTGCTTAACTCTCCAGCCTCATTTCTTTTTAATCCATATCCTTCCTTGTGGGTATGTTAAATTATATGCAGTGACGCACAGTCACGTTCTTTTGCTTTTTTGCACATAGGCCTCTATTTGAAATATTCTCACTTCCCCACATCTCCCTCCTCCTTCCACCTGCCTAACTTCTACTCAAGAAATCAACCTGGACATCACTTTCCTTTAGGAAGCCATGCCTAACTCCCTCAGGCTGGGTTTGGTGCCCCTCAACCCAGTAGTGTTTATCCACCTGTACTGTAATTGTAATTGCCCAAATGAGGTAAATTCCTTGAGATTAGGGACTATGCTTTATTCTGGCTTAATCCCAAGACTGCCACACAGTGGCAACTCAAAAGTCTGTAGCATAAAACAATGAATGAATGCCACAGGGCAAGCATTAGTCAACAATTAAGGCAATTTAGGGGAAAATACCAAACACCACTTCTGTGGTCTTTTGTGTTTGTTCTAAATACTGGTACTGAAAATTTTTAAAAAAATTGTTTTTAGTGTATCTGAAGTAAATGATAAAATGAATTTCTATAAAATACTTGTATACTCTTAGGAGAAATTCTGAAAAACAGATTTTTCAAAATTACACTATTTAAATAATGAATACATTATCCTTGTGAGAGATTAGGTGAACGTTAAAATTCCCCTACTAGATCACCAATAGTTTTTTGACTTTTCTCTCCAAACAGAACTCTATGGATGTAAGAATTTGATGGCAGCAGTACAGGAGAACAAGGATCACATTCACTCCTTCCTAATAATCTCTTATCTTAATTCTAGACACACCTCAATTGTTTCAATACTTTATAAGGCATTGAAAAATCCTATATAATTACTCTACATTTCTTTTTGCAACGCACAGATTTATCCACATGAAAAGTTAAAGAAACTAAACACACCTGAAACTGGAGCTGCTTTATTTAATAATCCAACATCTTCCTCAAACTCTGATGCAAACACTGATGAAGGCAACTTAATTCCAGTGCTCTTAAAAAAAAGCAATTACACAATTAGACTTATTTGGAAATACTTATGAACTACCGTACTGGATTAAAAGTGTCCCACGAAAATTCACAACCACTCAGAACTTCAGACTGTGGCCCTATTTGGAATAGGGTCCTTGCAAATGTAATCAGTTGAGCCATACTAGATCAGGGTGTTCCCTTATAAGAACGTCATGTGAGGACAGACAGACACATGGGGAGAATGCCATGTAAAGATAGAGGTAGACTGGAGCGATGTATCTATAAGCCAAGGAAATCCAAGGATTGACTACCAGCAACCACCAGAAGCTAGGAGTGAGGAATGCAACAGATTCTCCCAAGAAAACACCCTGCTGATATCTTGACTTTGGAACTTCTGGGCTGCAGAACTGTGATACTATAAATTTGTGGGTTTTTTTTTTTTTTAAAGAGACAGGATTTCTTCTGTTCTTCTTGAGGTGGACTGAGGTCACTCGATGTTACTCAGCTGACAGATAGGCTACTCTGGAGGTTCCAAGATGGATTCTACAACATGTCTGGTGTCTTGATAGGGATGGCTTAGAGGCTGAGTTCAACTGGGGCCGCCCACCTAACTACCTATCCATGGCTTCTTCAGCATGGTGGGCCCAGAGCTGTCACACTTCTTATATGCTGGCTGGCTTCCCCAAGAGTGAGTGTCTCAAGATAATCAGGTAAAAGCTACATGGCCTTTTCTGATCCAACTTTGGAGGGCACCCAGCTCCACTCCCACTACATTCTATTAGTTACAGGCAAATCGTAATGCCAGCACAAGATTCAAGAGGGAAGAAATTAGCTCTACTTCTTGACAGGAGAGTGCAAAGGGCATACTGTAGGAGAACATGTGGGCCAGAGGTATTATTGTGGCCATCGTGGGAAAATACAATTTTCCATACCCACCATTCTCCTGTCTTATTACCTAAATGCTGAACTTCAGAAAGGCAGAAAGGGCCAGATAAATGAGTAGAAATCATAGCAGGTACAAAGTATGCAAGTAGTTAGTCTAAATGATTAACCACCCTCATATGGAAACTAGATTTTCCATACCATAGAAATAGTTCTTCCTAACTCTCATATCATCATTGGAAGGTAAAGCTTGTTCATTTTTACCTGTAACACAGAAATTTTTTTTGACGTTGCACTGAAACAAAAATAGGTTGTTGTGCTGGACTTCTAGGCTGCAGGGAAGATGTACATAGTCAGGTTTTCTCCTGCAGCTTACTTTCTGTTCCTGACTACTGTAAAGGCACATGACTTCCATGTCTCTCCTGTAGTTCACACCTGAGGCCCAGAGTATAGCCAAAGCCCCTCCCTACTCACAGATGAGGCTCATTCTCTCCCTCTGATAATACCTCTCACTTTTCTCCTTTTCAAGGTCTAAAGGACATTTCTAGAATGGGATTTTTTTGAGATGGGGTCTGTCGCCCAGGTTGCAGTGCAGTGGCACAATCATAGTTCACTGCAGCCTCAAACTCCTGAGCTCAAGCAATCCTCCTGCCTCAGCCTGCAAAGTAGCTAGTGCTACAGACTCACATCACTATGCCCCATTACATTTTTTTAATTTTTTGTAGAAATAGGGTCTCACTACATTACCCAGGCTGGTCTTCAACTCCTGGCCTAAAGTAAACCTCCTTCCTTGGCCTCCCAAATTGTTGGGATTACAGGCATACGCCACTGCATGTGGCCTAAATTTCTATTGTTTTAAGTCACCCAATTTGTGGTAATTAGTAATCATACTCCTCAGAAACTGTTACAACTCATTGTGTATTCTCTCACCTCTGCTCTAGGTTGTATATTTAAAACATGTAAATCCCATCATCACCTCAAAAGCAACCTCCTTACATTACTTCACAATGCTTTCTCTGGTACATATTCCATTTAATCCTCAAATCCTGTGAGATCTCAGCATGTTTCAGTTAAGGAGAACAAAAGCTAAGAAAGGCTAAATGGCACACCTGCCTGAGACTGGTCATTACATGGGGTTCTGGGATTCAAATCCAGGCCTTATAATTCCATTCACCTGAAACTTCAAAAACAAAGTTCATTTTTTTCATCTTAAACTAGAGATAATGTCCCAACCTCTAGTAATGACACAGCTTTCTTTGAGTCAGGTGTCTTAAATCCTACAGTGGTTATAAAGTATTTTTTTCTGTCCCTATGTTCCTTTGAAGTCTCTTGTTTGTATACAATAATTTCACTCCCTTCCTTTGGGTACCATCCTATTTATGGCTAACCAAGCAACTGTTCAACTAGTCTATGCCTAATACAACCTTCATACCCACTGCCAGATTAAACATCCTTAGTATTTTTATCATGTAACCTTCCTGAATTTAAAACAGGTCTCAATTTTTCACTCTGTACATAATCTCCTGGTTTTCAAGGCCCTGTAGACTCAAGGTCTACTCTGTACGTCCAAATTTCTCCCTATTACTCATTATGACCACGCAAATCAAGTCCAGTTCCTGTCATGTAATACTTCAAAATAATGTACTGAGTGTGCATGTGCCAGATGCTGTGATCCACAATACTAGCTTATGTCTCTTCTTTCTGACTGAAATCTTCCTTTTTCTCCCTTCAATACTACCCACCCTCAGTGGCCAGGTCAGTTCCTACCATCCTGCATAAGGGCCCTTCCTGATTACTGTCCTAGAACCTTCCTTTGTGTGAACTCTCCACATTCTTCACATCCTGTGATCTACTTAAACACCTGCTAGCCTATGTTCTCTGACTGGTCCTTATGCTTTAGTTTCCTTTCCTTGACCGGTTAATAATGTGAGCGTAACCACCACACATTATCTGTCTCTGTATCTCTCCACCCATTCTGCCCTCTGTCAACTAAGTAGGCATAAAGCTGGGACATACATCATCACTGGTTCACTAGTGTGAAGCACCCTGAATTAAAAGGCTCTGAGAAGCATGAGTAAAGTCTACACACAGCAAAATGTTACGGCTTCCAAAATAAGTTTCTCAGCAGCATAAACACGAGCACAAATCTGTTCTGCTGTAGTCTTTTTTTTTAAAATTTTTTCTAGAAAACAGTTTTACTGAGATGTAATTCACATACTATACAATTCTTTTTAAAGTACACAATTTTAGAAAAAGTCAACCAAAGAAACAAAAGTGTACAATCTAATGGGTTTTGTATATTACATTATTAATTCTTTAGAACTGTGCTAAAATCTACATAGTCTTTAGGTTTTAAAGGTACTCTGTGATTATCCTTAGAAGTTTAAGGTAAAAAAGGGGAGGAGGTCAGCTTGTGTTTAATGAATTTACCTGTGGGAGATATCTGTCAAATCTTGAAAAGCAGTCAAAGAATCACCTACAGGACTAGAGTTTATATAATGATTTCTTTCTAGAGTACTGCTTTTTTATTTGTTGCAATAGTTCTCAACTATATTGAGTTTGCCCAGCTACTTTCTACTATGGTAGCACCTTCATGTAAAAGTTAAGGCCTGCTCAAGCACTTATTTCTATACTGCCTTACACTGTTTCTAGGAGTTATTCAATATTTCTAGTCTCTTCAAATTCAGGAGTTTGTTACATATTAAAGTAAAAAAAAGTACATGGGATCAATCCCTATTTTTGCATAATGCTACAGAAAACCAAGGGCATTTTTGTTTTTAAATATAATTCACCTGTCCTTGTAAACATCACCAAAGTGTCCATTTAAGAGCTTTATTCTGTTAGAAGGCCAATTAGTGATTACTTTTACTTAAAATGAGTTAAGGATTGAAAGCTAATATTTTTTCCTGGTCAATACAATTCAGCCAAGTTAAGACTTTCTTAAAACTTTTCTCCCTAAGATAAAGTTGAGCCACTACTAGACTCCCCCTCTATATCATTGGGTTCTTGAAGGAAGTGAGGCAATAAGATAAGTACCCTACTACTAATATATCCTTGGGAAAGGAGTAGAGAAGTTGGTTATATTAAATATTATGACAGAGGTATGGTGGTGGGATTTGGGGCCTTACAAAACCTAGTAAGTGAATGCATAGTTATAGTTACTACCTCTTCCTTAGGGATGATATCCTGAAACCTAACCCTTTGACTCTCCTTAAGCAACAATCTATGAACTAGAAAGGCTACAATCCTATCGTCCCTAAAGAAAGGCATGCCTAGACCATGATACAATTAGAGAATGAAGAACAGGGGAAACCAGTGCCCTTTTTATCTGTTCCCTTTTGTCCATAAACCTAATGAATGTCTGCTTTTTTAAAGTGCTAGGTGATAAAAAAGTTTCCCACAGGGAATTTACTCTACATTAAAAATAACAGCAGCACACAAATGGGCATCCTTAACATAAACAGGGGGAAAAAAATCAGTCATTTCATATAAATATGTGCTCTCATTTGTACTTAAAAGTATAGTGCATTTTTGTTTATAAGAGTAATAGGAGGCCGGGCGCTGTGGCTCACGCCTGTAATCCTAGCTCTTGGGAGGCCGAGGCGGGCGGATTGCTCAAGGTCAGGAGTTTAAAACCAGCCTGAGCAAGAGCGAGACCCCGTCTCTACTATAAATAGAAAGAAATTAATTGGCCAACTGATATATATATAAAAAATTAGCCGGGCATGGTGGCGCATGCCTGTAGTCCCAGCTACTCGGGAGGCTGAGGCAGAAGGATCACTCGAGCCCAGGAGTTTGAGGTTGCTGTGAGCTAGGCTGACGCCACGGCACTCACTCTAGCCTGGACAACAAAGCGAGACTCTGTCTAAAAAAAAAAAAAAAAAAAAAGAGTAATAGGAATTTCATTACAGTCTATTTGTTCTCTCCTATGGTTAGCTGTAGCTTTAATAAAAGTGTTAAAGATATGGACATTCCACAAAAGTACTAACTTAGAACAGAGTTTATGATCATGAAACAACTAAGCTGTTCACATGTAGAATGTTGGCTGCTTTTTTCCTACTGAAAAGTGTTGCCTGACATGGCCACATCTATAAAAGTTCTAGACTTTTGACACTTGCCACCAGAGAAGAGATGGCCTACTCTCTCCTGATGATATGTATGTACACATACAGTTTTAAATGGAGGCATGGCCTATCTTTGGGCTCTTTATACGGACATCACTTCTTGTCCCAAACTGTTACCTTTATTTAAAAATGATGGTTTCTTCATTCACCCCCACACTCACTCTCTCATACTTAAATATTTATGCTGAAAAGCCTTACTGGAATTACTAAAGTCTCTTCTTTCTCATCCCTCTTGCTGTGTGCACTGAAGGTACTTGAGGGAATAAGCTCAGAAGGCCCAGATGGTTCCTTCAGGTGCTGTAGGTAGTCATAGTCATCGTCAAAGAATACTCCATACTTCCTCTGTTCTGCTCGCCTTTCTTCATCGTTTATCTTGAATAGCAAACAAAATGGAATTAGCACTTCTTCCAATGATAAGGCACAGGTCCCTTATAATGAGCATAGCTTTCCAAATAGGAGGTAAGTGGCACATGAACATTTTGGCTGAAAGGAGCAAGACAAAGAATTTTTATATTTTTTAAGACAAAGAACAAATGCAAGAAACACAGAGTTTCTAAACCAGAGCGCTACACAAAATTAAAATGGAATGAAAACAATTCCTTCATCCACTAGACATTTCGATGTAACAATTCAAGTCAAGAAACACATTGTTTTTATCATGTATTTGGAAGATTAGAAGACAAAACGGGGGGGGGGGGGACTTGAAAGGTAAGTACAATTTCTTATATTTATATGCAAGGAAAGATCTCAACATGCAACAAAATTGGCTTTACTGAAAAGGTAAGCCAATGTCCGACACTTCCTTTCATCTTATCCATACTTAACAAGTACAGTCTAACTAAAAATAATCATATCAACCCTTACAAGATTCCCTTGCGTTTTATAAAGCTAACCCACAAGCTCATGTTTTACATCTCAGGAGATGACTGACCAGGAGGCAAAATACAGTTTGTGGTTATGATATGGCAGAACTTTAGGGAAAAAAGAGATTAACCATATGTCTGTGCTCTAATTATCATGCAGCACTGTAGCTGCTGGTTCAGTAAATATTTACCATTACTCTACAAGATCTGTTCATTTTAATGTCTCAAATAATCCTCCTAATAAAAACAAATATGCATGACGCAAAAATCAGCACATGTACTGAAAATTAAGCCACAGATTATTTCCCAGAAGGTCAGCTGTCTGAGAATAACCGTTGGCTAGCAATTTAATTAAGACTACTAACAGTTCACGTAAAAATGTAATGGCTAAAGAACAGGACCTACTTTCTGTGTGGGCAACAGAACCCGCTGGGGTGCAGTCTCATCTGCTGCTAAAGGATCTCGTTGGCTCCGGTGGACCAAGTGAAAAGACACAGCTTTCTTCTTCTCTATAAACGGTTTTTTCTTCCTGTGAGGCTTCAAAAGAACAGAATCAGAACAAATTATTAAAAAGGAAAAACAACAACAAAAAAACAGTGAATACCACCATAGTCCATCTTCAGTAAGCTATGTGAAGGATCAACAGATTTTTTTAATCTACACTTTTAAGACAGGTAACATCAGCTGTGTTCTGCAGAATTCACACTTAATCTTCCTTCAACAAACATTTGCTGAGCATCTACTCTGTGTCAGGCCTTGCTATGGGAGCTGGGAATACAACGGAAGGAAAGTCAGATAAAGTTCCTGTTCTTTTTTTCTTTTTCTTTTTTTTGAGACAGAGTCTCACTTTCTTGCCCAGGCTAGAGTGAGTGCCGTGGCATCAGCCTAGCTCACAGCAACCTCAAACTCCTGGGCTCGAGCAATCCTACTACCTCAGCCTCCCGAGTGGTTGGGACTACAGGCATGCGCCACCATGCTCGGCTAATTTTTTCTATATATATTAGTTGGCCAATTAATTCCTTTCTATTTATAGTAGAGACCGGGTCTCGCTCTTGCTCAGGCTGGTTTCGAACTCCTGACCTCGAGCAAGCCGCCCGCCTCGGCCTCCCAGAGTGAGCCAGGGCACCCGGCCCAGTCCCTCCCTGTTTTTAATAAGAAAAATCAATGAAACAGTGATTTCAGGTGAAAAAAATATATTTGCAAGGTGATGTGCAAATGACTTAAGAGTTTAGATTAGGTGCTCAGGGAAGGTCCATTGGGGGTGGAACCAGAATGGCAAGATGCTTGACACAAGAAAATATGGAGTAGACAGTTCCAAACAGGGCAAACACTTCATCTAACAACGAGTGAATAAAAAACCAAGACAACAAAAGTTAGTAAACAACTAAAGTTAGTAAGATTTATCAACCATTTCTACATTCTTATTTCGCTATTCAATCTTGGTTTTCTAAACTGAGTAGAAACCAACTAAGGGGCCTTACTCTGGGACCAACCTTAGACTCTTCCACAAGTTCCTTTTCCCCTGAACAAACAGCCAAGTGGACACCTGCCACTCCAACTCTTGGGTAGACCAGCAACTTTCCCTCTGCCAGACCCCATGAAGCACAGTGTGGCGCGTCTGAGGCCGCTGTCACAGATTTTTAGTTAACTGCAGGCGCGCAGAGCTGCAGGGCTAAGGGTAAGAGGGAGGCCATCTTCTTAAGGTCTCTCCCCAGGGAAGCTCAGCCGTGGGAACTACAACTTGCAAAGTGTGCTCGGGTGGTGAGGGGGACCCATTCCGGGGTACTGTGCCGCAAGCAGTCTCTGGCATCACCCAAAGCAAGGCTGCAGTAGCCACTGACATTACCGGAACCTGCCTGACTTCCGCAAAACAATAGCGCCCCGCCGGCAAAACGACCGAGGTTTGCTCACCATGCTGCAGCCGCGCGGCTCTCGCCCTCAAAAAAACCGCGATTACCCCCTGGAAGTCGGAGGGGAGACCAAAACGCTGCTCACGGACAAGTTTTTAGGCCTCACCACACGTGCAAACCCAGGAGCCGGGCGGTAACGTCACGCAACAGGAAGTAGAAATCAACCAATCGCCGACGAGCTGACGGGTCGCTGCCGGAAGTTCCGTGTAGCTCTCTGCGTCTCAACGATCGCGAGAAGCTATAGGGAGGGGCTAGCCCAGTTCCCACCCCCGGGCGGGCGGTGCTTTTCTGCACAGATGTCTCCTGCCGGGGCAAGGGAGTCTTGGGGTGCAGTTGCGTTGAGGCGCAAAACGGGGGTTGCTGCTTGTGGACGAACCTCATTTTATATCCCCTCTGCTGAGACCAGAGGGGATGAAGATAGCGTCCACATTGACTTGTGCCCCTTACCTATTCCCCATAGTAACAAAAAACCGTGTCCACCGAAAGGAAGGGGCCACCCTCCAGCGTCATCAAGGTTTCAGGCTCCCTGTCTTCTGGGCGGGGTTGGGGTCGGGATCTGTTGCCTCAGCAACGGGGAACCGGGGTCTTGCCGTTGTATCCTGCACCAGACTTAAGTCTTTATTTTCCACCGTTTAATTAATTGCCTTCATCTGTCCCGTTAAAAAAAACCCTGAGACTCTGTTGGCTGAAGAGGCATTTCAACTAATAAAATATATTCAGAATCTCTGGTGTTTGCATATCTTATCTTAGATGATCACGAATGTTAATTCTCTTCCAAGGAATCTCTTCCAATTCTCTTCATCAATTGTTACAACGTGGTTTAAGCAAATAGGCAATAAACATGCCTTCTTAGGAAGACTTCAGGCAGGTGCTAGCTTTTTTGGAGGGGGGCGTGGTGGCAAAATAGTGTGGTAAATTCATTCAAAGTTTTATCAGCAGAACTTTACTCAAATTTGTTTCCCCTTCCCGATTTCTGGTGTCGTCCCAATGTCTGAGTTATCTTGGATTGGGTCTTTACGTCTTACATATTACCACTATAAGTATTTGTGGAGTATTATTCTTTTATTACAAAAAAATTATAGAAAAAATTTAGGTTAGGACCACAAAACTTGTCTTGGGATATTGTGTTGTAACACAGAAACAATACATAACACTGCTTCCTATGTGCTAGACATTCATTGTTACCATTTGTTATAGAGAATAAAGATCCCGGAGGGCAGGTTTTGCTTCGTTTCGATCTATTTACTAATTTATCTATCCCCAGGAACTAGAAGAGTGCCTGGCACATATACTCAATAAATATTTGTTTAAATAAGTTAATGTTATGGCACTTTACATGAATTATCTCTATTTCTTCATTACCACAACACTATGAAAAAGATGCCATTATCTTCATCTTACCAATGCTAAAAATGAGGCATAAGAAAGTTAAGTAACTTTCTTAAGTTCACACAAGTGAATGGCAGAGCAGGGATTTAAATCCGAGGAGTCTGTTTTCAGCCTGGCCACCTAACCACATTGCTTGTTTTTTTTTTTCTTTTAAGCAATATTCTATTTACTGGATATATTTATCCGTTTAAACACCAAAAACACAGTGCTAACTAAGCACTTTGTATTCATCACGTCATTTAAGTCCTTCAACAAGCCCATGACGTACAATTAGATAACACTAAGCCAATTTCACAAATGTGGAGAATTGAAGTTATTTACGCAACATCACACAGTAAGTGGAAAATCCTAGAAGTGTAGCCCATCAGGCTGGTTTAGGAAGGCCATACCCTTATCCATATGCTACACTGCCTCCTAGGGCCGTCAACCAGCAAATTCTTTTGGTTCTACTCTCTAAATTCCCAAAAGTATCAGTATCACTTCATTACCCATTTTATCAAATCTATCATTTTTAACACTAATCAAGTCACTTCCCTGTATAAAATCCTTTGATGTATACCCTCTGGCCTCAGGATAAAGTCACAACTCTTTTGCATGGCAGCAAAGACTTTATATCATCTGGTCTCCAGCCATCATCCAAACATCATGTCTTCTTATTCCTTCACATACATTCCTTCATGGCCCAGCCCTATCAAACTGTCTGCAGTTCCCAAATGTGCCTGAAAGACATCGGCCCTCTTCTGCCCATCTAAAAGGCCCTTCCTCTCCCCTCCTTGATCTTCAAGTCTTAGTTTAGCCATCTGTCCCTTCCAGATGAACCAAGGCTGGATGCCCCAAAAGGGGTTGCAGGGTAATTCCTGCAAGGGATGGCCGAAACCATCCCAAGATGGGGTCAGTCTGGATTCCAAAGAAAGAAGCATTAAATGCCAGGGAGATGAGTTCAGAGCATTTATTAGGAAACTTACAGAGTGCTTCAGCTGACAGGGATAAAAGACATGTTTCTTTCTACCTAGGGATGTCTGCAACAAGAGTTGCAGAGTTATGGAGTTTATGTGAGGGTTTAGAGAATTTGGCTCAGGGCCAGAGCTAGTCCCTATGTGTTTAGCAAAATATTTTCATCTTTCAGTATTTTAAGCAATAACCTACACAACTTTATCAGTGACTGAGAATGTTCAAGGCTCCGGCTTAAGTTCAAGCCTACAGGGGAAAAAAACCCATGCAGCTGGCCAGGTCACAGAATGGTCAAGGCACTCTGTGTTTCTCAGGCCACAGAAAGAAAGTAGGGGGAACTGAGAGACTCTACACCATGTCTGCCTCTAGAAACTTTCTCATACTCTTCAAAACTAGGACCCATCCCAAATTTTCTCATTGTATCCTGTGATTACACTACTGTACACAGTTACACTGAATTGTAAATATTTTCATCTGTGTCTAGAACCAGACTGTAGTCACCTATCTGAAAGCAAGGATCTTTGTCTTGCTAACTTTAGTTTCTCAGAGCCCAGGATAGTAAAGGCTCAATAGTAATTGTACTGTTTGAAGAGCTTTAGATATATTTACTCATGAAATCCTTACAACAGGATTTATACTTTTTTACTGTGCAGAGATTGAAGAACAGAAAGTTAAGTGACTTTTGTTCCAGTACACAAAGTCAGTAAATAATGAAGCCAGAATGTAAACTACAGTGTAGCTTGAGTCACACCCTTAAACATTACAATACTGTATACCCCATTTCCAAAAAATACACCATTACAAAATACCTCAAAACATGTGGTGAGCTTACATGTTTCAGAGACTGTTCTGAGTGCTGTCTTAATACAGAAAAATATTATTTCCTACCATTAAAAGAACAAATAGGCCGGGCGCGGTGGCTCACGCCTGTAATCCTAGCACTCTGGGAGGCCGAGGCGGGCGGATTGCTCAAGGTCAGGAGTTCAAAACCAGCCCGAGCGAGACCCCGTCTCTACCATAAAAATAGAAAGAAATTAATTGGCCAACTAATATATATAATATAAAAATCAGCCGGGCATGGTGGCTCGTCCTGTAGTCCCAGCTACTTGGAGGCTGAGGCAGGAGGATCGCTTGAGCCCAGGAGTTTGAGGTTGCTGTGAGCTAGGCTGACGCCACGGGCACTCACTCTAGCCTAGGCAAGAAAGCGAGACTCTGTCTCAAAAAAAAAAAAAAAAAAAAGAACAAATAATTGAAACATTACAGTAAGGATAATGAATCCAAACCATACATCTCCCACTCTCTTATTAGTATTCTCTAATTAATGGTATTCCATTTAAGGTGATTTCAGAATTTCTGAAGGCGAAACAGAATTTCTGGTTTAGTATAGGTTTTTAAAAGTTTTTTTTTTCATATGAAACTAACCCATTGAAATCATGTTTATCATTTTAGCCCCGTTTATATCACATTCACTCATTCTCCAACTTAGAGAACCACTGATCCTTGACATCACTCAAGGAGTCCTTAGCACCAGGAACCCAATGTACACAAAAGTTCGGAGAAAAAACTTATTACACCCTGAAGCAGTAACTTTAGGAGTTAAAAATTGCATCCTGGCTGGGCAGGGTGGCTCACACCTATAATCCTGGCACTCTGGGAGGCCGAGGCAGGAGGATCATTTGAGGTCAGGAGTTCAAAACCAGCCTGATCAAGAGTGAGACCCTGTTTCTACTAAAAATAGAAAAAAATTAGCCAGACAACTAAAAATATATAGAAAAAATTAGCCGGGCATGGTGGCACATGCCAGTAGTCCCAGCTGCTTGGGAGGCAGAAGGATTGCTTGAGCCCAGGAGTTTGAGGTTGCTGTGAGCTAGGCTGACACCATGGCATTCTAGCCCGGGCAACAGAGTGAGACTCTGTCTCAAAAAAAAAAAAAAATTGCATCCTTGACAATACTAATAAAGCTTATGCAGGTACTTAATCTATAAAAAGGGATGTGTATCAAGATGGATATACCACCAGGATGTTCACTGGAACACTGCTTGTAATAGAGAATTAAATTTAAAATTCCATTAGTGGAATTAAAACTCCATTAGTGAGCCAGGCGTGGTGGCATGCTCTTGTAGTCCCAGCTACTTGGGAGACTGAGGCAGGAGGATCATTTGACCCCAGGAGTTTGAGTCCAGCCTGGACAAGATAACCAGACCCCATCTCTAATTAATAAATAAATAAATTCCATTATAAGGAATTAATTGAAAAAAAAAAACCCATTCATATAATGGGCTACTGTGAAGCTGTTGAGGAAGCTGATTGACATGGACAGTCACATGTTAAGTCCAAAAAAAAGCAAGTTGCAGAAATCATGATGGATGCCACTTTTTGTTAAAAAATTATAAGAAAAAATGTTTTACACAGAAATATTGTAGTGCAAGCATTTAAAAAAAACAGCCAGAATTGGAGGGTTGTACTTGTGTATGTAATGCATCATTTCCCACTGAAGAACAATTTTTTTTCTACAGTATTAAATAACAGTAGTATTCATTGTACACTAGCTGAAATTAGTTTCTGATCTTTGTTTCATTCTTATTGTGTGACTTGGGACCAGTGGGTCTCAGTTTACTCACCTCAATGTAAAAGGGGGATGATAATATTATTAATACCTTAGAGAGTGGTTGTTGGATTCAATGAGAAAATGTGTGTGAAAAGCTTGGACCTGCGCCTAGCTTTTAGTACAGTGTGCAAAGAGCATGAGCTATCGTCCTCTTCCCGGTTAAATGTAGTTATTCACTAATTGCATTGTAACTCAGGAGGGCTATCACCTGAAATGGGACCTTCAGCATCTAGGATTTGTCAGGGGACA